ATTAAGCTGCGAGGTAAACTAAAAAATCCTTTGGTTAGTGCTCTTTATTTTTGCAAAAAATTTAAAAAAGAAAAAAAAAAAAAAAAAAAACCAAAAACAAATACAAAAAGAAAAACTTGTTTTTTACGTGTATTCTTTCGATTTCGCAGTCTGTTGGTCTGCTGGTTTTGCATCGGTTTTGTGTGAGACTTTTTTTGTGTCTTTCAAAAAACAAATTTTTTTATAATTTTCTGGTTTGTTTTATTGCTTGTATTCGCGGCTATTTAAGGCTACCATATATATATATTTTGATTTTTCAAAGTTTTTGTTTTTATTTCTTTTCTTTTTTTTTTTATATTCGTCTCCGGCATTTATTTATTGAATTGAGAGGAAAGAAAAAAAAGTTCTTTACAAAAAAAAAAAAAAAAGAAAAAAAAAAAAAAAAAACCAGTACAACGACTAAAGCAAATTGCTAAAGAAACAAAGGAGAAACTGCTTAAAATCATCAGGCATTTAATTGATTTTTCCTTAATTTTTTATTTATTTTTTTTTTTTCCTCCTATAATATAATGAAAAGAATGGCATTTCGTTTCTTGGTTATAATTAAAATTAAAAAAAAAATGTTCATAAGCATTTTTTTTTGATTTTTTTTCTTTTTTTGCAGTAAAGCTGTAAAGACATTTAAGATTATTAAGCAAACGTTTTATTACGTATTGCATGTAGAGAAGACTGTTATCTATATTTAGCAGCGAAAACAGGGAGCTACGTTTTCGTGTTTTAAAATAAACTCATTATGAGTGCACATGCTTTTTAATTAGACAGACAAGAATTCATTGACTTTCAATGTCAAGGATCCTTCTGTTAATAACATATGTGTATGTATGGTATTAAATTAAAAGTACACAAGTATGTACCATTTGCATGTACGAGCACGTACTTGATGTTGGAGTACGGAGGACAAGCATAGGGACAGGCATAGGGACAGGGAACACAATAAACGGCCTTTTAATAATTTAATGTTGATTTTCGTTTTTTCTGTAAAACAGACAAGCCAGAGTCTGAAATGTTTTAAATGGCCGTAGAATTAATAAAAAAGCGAAAAAAAAAAAAAAAATTACTTGGTCGCACACATTTGCGGATATTGCTGCTAAGGAGCATGGCATGTATTATACTAAAGGTTTTCTATTATTTCACTTTGCTTTGTGTGTACGTGCAGCCAAGGGCTATAAAAAGTGGACTTTTCCGCAACTTTACATGTCACGACAAGCTTTTCATTTTATCACTTAGCGAAACTCATGTTTCATGAATTCTGTTACTTCACTTCCCTTACAATTCCTTTCAAGTATTATCCTTTCAAATGAAGTCATTGACAATAATAAAAATTTCAATTATCACGATTAGGTTAACTTAAATCCTAAACCTTAATGGTTGAAATATCAATTGGAATGCAGGATGACTGTAAGAGTGTAATTCTTGCTCGAGCTCAAATGTTATAAGATGGAGAGTCCTTGGATTTCTCATTTCGAAATATTGTTTGCAGTGGAGCTTTCGATCGAGATCGATGCCAGAACAACTCAAACATACCATAGGTTCAGTTTTTTCGATACTAGTTAACATATGGAAGATTACTAATTGTAAAGGTTTCGTGTTCATGCTCGGGTTCGTGCTCATGCTCGTCCGCGTACTCTTTCCAAACCGTGCTCACTATTTATGAATACGAGGTGAAGGTCGAACCTATCCAGTGCTTGGAAATGATTTTTCTCTTTGCGAACATTTTTATTTATCATTTCGATCATTTCAAGGTAATTTCAGGAAAATAAACATCAGTGTTGTTCCAAAGTACATCCGGTCGATTCAATATCTTCTTTCAATTCGAGGTCACATATTCAAACTAACTTACCATATTTTGATTTCCAAAACGTTAGTTGTTGCTAACTTATTCATTTAAACAAACGATTTCATCAAATTTTTAGTAAACTACCGAATGATACTAGGGATGCTAGGGTTTTGATAACAAATATTCAGTCATATTCTAATATCGATGCCTGCTTAAATTCAAAACAATTAATCGTTCATCATTTTGTCAGTTACCTCAACTTTGACTGTAGAGAGTACTCTTGCTGTTCTTGTTAAGAAATAAACTACGATCATCCTGTCAGCCGATCATAAACCGTGCCTGTATCTTATCCTTAATGTTGTAGCGAGTGCTCAGTTGAGAAAGGCATAATACTTACTGATTGAGCGCATACTCACTAAACTGAGATCAACACCTATCCCTATCTCCTTTTCATTGCTTACTTCTTTCTGATGAACGCACTGTGATACGTATAGGAGACAATTGTCTGCGTGGTTTGGCGTTATGTATAAAAAAAAATTAATTGATGTTTGATGATTTCCTAGCGAGTATATATATATATATAAATATATATATATTGTTCTAGTACGAATTCGTCGTAAAAACATCGCCTATATGGGAAATAAGTTACTGCATATAAATGTAATGAAATAATTATGACTACATATATATAATGTAGGAATGTAATATAAATTAGTTAATAATTGTTTTTCCCTAAATTTTGTATGTTTTGGAAATTGATCAACAAACAATGCACTATGCACTATAGCATATGCTACACTAAATACTATATATACATAAATATTAATATATATATATATATGTTATTTATATAAATATATAGTTATCAGTTCGGTTGTCATCCAGGCCTTTGCAAAACCTAACTCAACTTAATAATCTTAATACAATTGCAAGCGTGCAAATTAAGGTAAGGTTGCATAATATTATACAGTAAAAGTTCCTTATCCGCGCTTCCTGCATTCGCATTTTCACTATTCGCGGATTAAAAAAAGAAATTTTTTAAATTCCTATAATCGCGGCTATAAATTTCTTTATTCGCGGATCTATAAAGTACATACATAATAATAAAAGGATTCCGATAGGTATCCAATTACTATTCCATATTGACGGTTTCTATATTCGCGGCACATATGCCCCGCGAATGAAGAACTTTGAGTGTAGTTCACATTTTTGGATTTACCAATTAAGCAGTGGTATATAACGAAACTCTTACTATCGCTTTAAGTATAGTTCTTAAGCTATTTCGTAATGTACTTTAGTGTTTATTTCCAGAGTTGATTCCGGTACTCCGCCGCTTCTAGTACAATATACGCACTTAAAGTTAAAACTGTCACTTGAGTTCCATGCTATCGTTTATAAGATAATAATGAAGGCATCGATTTTTGACTTTGCACAAACTCATACCGCCTCACTTTTAACACTTTCTCGCCAAACTTATCTTTTTATCCACGACATCGTCCGCAGAAGTACTGAAAAGTGCTTAATCAAATCTTCAATGCAAGTAAACATGCATTATATCCATCGTTTCTATGTGTTCGTATATTTTATATATAAACTAACAACCGTAGGTAAACCGTAAAGTATTCTATTTCCAATTAGAAAATTTTCAAATACAACTGATAAAGTCGTCTTGTAAGTTTTTGTTTTTATTGAAAAGTAACATAAATTGTTCTCACAATTAACTTAGCAAAGGCACAAACCATAAATAGTGTTGAGGTTTAAGTTTCCAATTTAAGCACTTTTTGGCTTTGAATGCGGCCAATGTTGCCGTAATTTATAGTTCAAATCGATTACGGTCATTACGATTTTTCGTATAATCAACAATAACAACATATAACATCGCATATATTTTGGTTTTGGCGGTTGAGACGGTCTATGTGTGTGTGTGTGTGTGTGTGTGTGTGTTGAAATCGGTATTACAGTGGCAACATAGTGTTTGTTTGATAAACACAATGGACTTTATTTATGTGTGTTTATGAGCTTTCTTTATCTGACTATCTATGTTTATCTGTCTATTTGTCTATCCATCTGTTTGTCCAATGACATGCTCATCCGTCTATCCATTGAACTTTGTAGCTTTCTTTCTTGTAAACATATTGTCAGCGCGCTACTAACTTGTTGAAGGAACTTTCCCTCAAACCAACGTAATCAGGATGATCCGCTTCATCGTCTGTACTTTGATATAAGTCGCATGCGTTGTTTGCCCGTAGATTGAAGCGGTGCAGATAACTCCCAAAGTTATTATTACTTAAAAAAAAAAAAATAACTTGAGTTGGGAAAAGATTTACTTCCCACTGCTCTCTCCACCAATTATTCTAGATTTGGCGTCAGGGTGTAGATCCACTTTACTTTCGTATCATCTTCCCGTTGTTGTTGCCATGCCATTAACATGCTCTGTTAGAAGTTGTTAATTTGCAGGCATCGTTACAATATCCTTAACCGGTTGTTTGTTCTTTCTTGCCAAGATCGCTGTCGCTGATTTTGAAATTGTGCGGTCAACTGATACTATTCTCAACGCGTACAGCCTTTGAACAGCTAGTGCCTGTTTTGTTCACTTGGATACCTTCTTAATACATCCCGCAATTATTAATTCCTTATCGAATTGCACTATGAGATATCTGTGTCTGTCTGTTTGTCCGCATATCTATCTGTCTGCCTAACTGTCTGTCTACCTGTTACAACAGCCTCCAAACTTTTTCTCGAAGTGCGAGCTTCGTTTAAAATTTTTTCCGATCACTCTAACCGGATTAAAATTAAAAATTATGAGTAAATGAGGGCAGAATGTGCTGCCAAACTTGCAGCAGTGCTCATTTTCCATTTTATTACGCATATAGTGTATATGCTTTTAATCAGCATTAAATTATAAATTTCCGTCCGTATGTCCTCGTATGTATTCATCTAGTTTTTCCATCTAGAATTTGCGGTAAATATTCTTCCGTTTGCCAGAGGGCAGATAGTTACGTGATGGATACATGCGTAAGACCACAAAACATTCCATGAATGTTCAGTGAACGAATAATAATAAAGGCAATCGATTTCTGAAACGGAAACTGAAACGATTCAATTGAATGCGATTTTCTCTGATTTTTATCGTTATGCTTATTATATTTTATTGCAGCTATTCAAAATTTTTAAGATCGGCCAAATGCTTAAGTGGACTAAGCAACAACAGCAACTGTCAAATCTATCTTCTTCGGCTTTACAGCAGCAACCAAAGACTTTTCAAAAATCTATCTACAAAAAGCGCTATTCTACTGGAAATTTTCAAATTTCTTCTAAAACGAAAGCAGATTACAATAAAATGCCTACGATGAACAATTACACATTGGAAAGACGTCTACATCGGCGTTCGCTCGATAATCAATTGGATGCCGCTTATGAAGAGCAAAGGAATCGACGAACCTCTAGAGTCTCGTTAACAAGCATGGATAATAAGGAAAATTTTGATATACATTTTATGCGTAATTCATTCGGTAACACTAGTTTGACTGCTTTGCACGACTTAAGTAATGGTAAAAGTCCCCGTAGATCGGTTAATGAGCAAACACCACCATTGGTAAATGTGAAGAGGAGATCCGAAACAGAAAATCAGAGATTTTCGGATAATTTTTGTGAGGCGAACGATTTAACGCCATTGAAGCATTTTAAATTCCGCGATAAAATCAAAGAAGAGTCTTTATCCTCATCTAGAATGGGAGATGTTACCTTAGATCGTATGCTCGATGCGATAATCGAAAGTGCTCGAAAAGAAGCCAAACCCTTGAATCATATGCATAAGGATAGAGAAAATGAGAAGAACTTGGATAATGGCGGCAACAACAATAGTATGGACATTAGCGTGCATGAAATGGAAGTAAGGACGCCGCAGCATTTGAAACGTCAACGCAAGGTGGTGAGGCGTAAGAAAACGGATAAAAAAGCGAAGCAGAACGGAAACGAAATGAATAGAAAAACGGAAATGATTGGTTTAACATTACCTAATGGTATACCCAGTCCGGGCACCCCAGAATTCAAGCGATTCGTTAAACATAACAGCTATGAAGGATTGTTTACGCCTTCGCCACCGATCGGAGAATTGCAACTATGCAGTACTCCCACCTTAGAGGAGACAAGAGCAATCAAGCGCTGTTTGAGTTTCTCTTGCAATAGCGAAGACGATGAGGGCGAGGAATTTCTTCAACTTGATACGAAACGTAATTCAGTCGCATCGTCTATAGCTAGTTCGACTACGGAACAGCTTAGCAGCAATTCAACAGCACCGATTAAGGGTTCCCTGGATTTGGCCGTATACGCTCACCAGGGTATTTTAAATGTACACGGTGAGTTCCAAATTTTAGTAGGGCGTAAATATTAATTGATTGATTACCTTTCCAAACAGACATTTTTTTTTTTCCAAATGGGAAGAAACTAAAATAATATAAAATAAAATAAAATAAAATAAAATAAAATAAAAATAATCTATAAGCTTTCTTATATATGAACGCATTTGCAGTTATACGCTGCCGAGATTTGCAGAGAATTAATGGCTGCTCCTCGGTTAATGCTTATGTTAAAGTGGCGGTCATATGCAAGTCACAACCTGGGACGGGTTTCCAACGTACTGCCGTTCACCGTCATTCGAGCCGACCATTTTTCGATCATCGCTTTAAATTCAATTTAAAGCATTTATATGATATCATCGATGATATACAAGATGAAGATCGTTTACAATTGGCGGTCTGGCATCGGGATCGTCAACTGAAGTGAGTATGATCGTGATTTTAAATATTTCCTCATACATTCACATAATAAGCCAATTATTGCAATCAATTTTTACAATTTTATGCTTTATTAGCTTTAACGAAATAATTTTCTTGATTTTCCCTACGCGGGTGACGCGTCATAAATTATTTAATTTGCTTATCATCCTTCGCTGCAATAATAACAACCAACCAACTCGTTATTAAAATTTTATTATTATTATTTTTTTTTATTTTTGTTGTTGCTTTTACGGTTGTTTATGACAAAAATATCATATTTGCTACAATGTGTATGTTTGTATCCTGCCACAGCTGAAAAATGTGAAAAGAAAAACGCAAGAATAACGTTGACTTGACTTACCATTTAGGATACTTTCACTCCGTCACTTCGAAGGTAAAGAGCAGAAAGCAAAAAGCATTCGTGTCATGTCTCATTGTAAATACCTTAATATTTCTACGCGCTATACAATTTTAAAAAAAAATTTTTTATTATATCCATTGCAACATTTTCTAGTGTAATAAGCGATTGGAAGCTTTTCGGTGAAAGTAAGCGAAAAGAATAGCAGCGCGTCGAGTGCGGGAAGTAAACGAAAGAAGGCGCAAGTGCGGAATAAGAAAACTTATAGAGAAGTATGAAAACTGAATTAGTTGAGAGAGTTGCAGATGCGTTTAGTAAAATTAATTCAATTAATAACTTTTGAGCGAGCACTTGTGCTTGGAGGGCACCGTGGATTCCCTTTGACTGAAATGCATTACAATGCATTTCAAATACGACATAAGTTTATTTTACTGATCATAGGTGATTATCAATCCCGGATGATTGATTTAAAGCAACCTATCGCAGTTTATGATGGATGATATGAACAAAAATTTTCAGTCCATAGTTTTTGTGCATAAATTTTATATTCTACAGCACGTACGGTTTGTGCGCCTATATATATATATATATACAACACTCTAAAAGGACTTCGAATATGCCCAACTTTTCCTAAATTATCGCAATCACTCTTTGAATCGATCTAAATTTGTCTGTTTGTCTGTCCGTCTGTCTATGTTAGAAGCTTTGTGTGTTCAATCTATAAGGTTGCAATTTTTTGGATATTTTAATGAAATTTTGCAAAGCGACGTGTTTTCGCCCAAGGAAAAATACTGTTGAAAATGGTTCGGAGCACACCACCTCTTCGACCATTCTGCATAAACCGCCTTTTTGTTTGTAAATTCATTATATGAATAAGTGTAGAGTGTTTGATGGTGGGCGCTGACCACCTGTAATGCTTTTATTTGTTTTCAATTAATTGATAACTGGTGAAGGGTAAACTTTACTAAACCAATTATATGAATATTTTAGGTTTAAGAAAACATTGCCAGAAATTATTAAAAATTAAATTTGATTTTTTCTTTTATAATCTTTGAGATTTATTTAGTCAAATAGATCCAATATGTATGAAGGGGCTTCCTTTGAATTAATAACAATAATAGTCATTGTTTCTTCTCCTCGCTCATTAGATTTTCTGGTAATTTCAATATGCGTTAACTGGAGTAATTTATGTAAACATTTCTTTAAAAGCCACGTTGTCTTGGAATGTCTTTGAAAAGAAATACCGGCAAATGAAATGTAATGATTGTTAAAAGCGCGCACAGTTTACCCTCTTTATTAACTTATCGCTCTCTCTCTCTCTCTCTATATATATATATATATATATCCCTCCGTGTTCTGTTTGAATCGTTTTCTCCTTATCGTTTAAAGTTCTTACAGTTTTTGCTACCAACAGATGATATTTATATTTTCATGTAACATATGCAAAACAACCCTTAACATGTTAGGCATAAGAAGCTTTCAAGCCTTCGAAAGCTTATTTTCTAGCCCGTCTCGAGTGTCCTCCAAATTAGGGTAAACTCACTCGTTGTTTGAGTTTAGTTGGTTTTCTCTGGTGTTGGTGAACGGTAGCAAAGCGTAAAAACATCTTATATATCGTAACAGGCTTTGCATTTGCAATTCAGTAGCAGCTAAATGAAACACAAAAAAATAATAATAATAAAGAAAAAAATATGAGAAATTTGTGCTGCTGATATTCATAGTTCATAAGTTTTTTTTTTTTTTTTTTTTTCCTTTTCACCTAAATGCACATGTACATACATATATTCCATA